AATATCTTGTTTTAAATTGGCCTTTGCACGAAAAATTTTAACAATAGCTGCTCACATTGCGCACTACGGTAAAACGTGGAACTAGGGTAAGAGAAATGCAAATATGAACAAAAAAATATATTCAGTTAATATAGAAATACACACCTGCAGATGTATTACCACAACTTTTAATCCAAATTATTAAGAATTTATTACGATTGAACTATTAATTTATTATTAAAAATTATTAACAAATTGTTTTTAATAAAAACAAGAAATACCGCACGAAAAGTTACGAGAATTATCAAATCAAAACATAACAAACAAATATCAAAAACGTCAGAATGCAATTCGCTGCAAAAAGATGCACAAGGAAGCTTTTGCGCAAAAGTGTTAAAGTGCATTAAGTTCAACTAAGATCAACTCAAAGCTTTGTTACTTTACACAAAAAGTTCAAGAGTATTCGTATAAAAGACGGCGCAATTTTCTAAGAATTTAGTGAGTCTTGTACGACCACTCGGTGGCGTTGTATGTCAACATATAAAATAAATAAATATAAAAAAATTGTCTGACACAGTGGCGGTTTTAAGCCTAGTTGTATAAATTACTTAAATATATATATAATTGTGTACCATCGCCTGGGCGGTTTTAAGTCAAGACACTTGGACACTATTGTATAAATATTCCATAACCGAACAAGAAAATATATTTTTTTTTTATATGTACACTAACCCTTCTGTCCCTAACAGGTGCACCGAGAGTGGACAATCATACGAAGGTGCCAACAACGAAAACAAACTAGAGATCATCGCGAACGCCAAAGAAACAATTACCGGATCCAGCTTGTCACCTGGGAAAGAATCTAAAGTTCATATCTACTTATCTTTAACTAACTTTTGTTTTTTTTTTAAATACGATTATAAAGAAATCATAATATTTTATTAAAATCCACTTTGAAATACATAATCAATGTCAAGTTATATCTAATTGCGTTTAATTAAATTCATTTTGTTTATGACTATTTTAATGAATTAATTTTATTTTAAATAAATCTACATTTAAAATTAAACACACAATCTTTTATTTGAGAAGTTCTGTCTCCGCGATTATAAATTTATTGTAGCGACCCCCTGGAAAAGACTGAGGATACCCCAGCATAAATTATAACGAAACGGGAAAATCCGTGTCGTTACAAAGTGAAGCAAAAATAGTCTTCTTTCGTATTCCATAACATTTCAAGTGGACATGCCATATCTCTTGCAGTCTCAATATCTGTAAGTTTAACATTTGGTGCAGTGATGTTAACATTGTTGCTATTCCACTTTGTTAACGATAGGTTGTAGAAATTCAATATTTCGGTAGTTTCATTTTTGATGGCTTGCAATGTCTCCAAGTCATCTGCTCCTGAGATCATGTCATCGACATAAAAATCCCGTTTTAATATCATTTTACCTGTTTCTTTACTGTAAGGAGAGTTATCTGCAATGTAGTGTAAGCAACGGGTTGCAAGAAATGGCGCAGAACTCGTACCATATGTAACAGTATTAAGTTGATAAACTGAAATATTTTGCGATTTATGCTCACGCCACAAAATTAGTTGAAAATTGCGATCACTTGGATGTAGCCAAAACTGTCTATACATTTTTGTTATGTCAGCCGTTATTCCATATTGATACAATCGAAATCTTAATAATGTTATTACAAGTTCATTTTGGATTGTAGGGCCCACCATTAATAACTCATTTAATGACACTTGTGGTGATGTACGAGCTGAAGCATCAAAAACTACACGTAATTTAGTAGTTGTGCTATCTGGTTTAATTACATAATGATGTGGGATAAAATAGTGGGGAGAATTTAAATCCAAATCCTTAACCATCGACATATGTCTGAGATTTTCGTAATCTTGCATAAATTTCACATATTCCAATTTTAACTCAATATTGGAGTCAAGTCTTCTTTCCATAGATAAATATCTTCTTAATGCAATTTCCTGAGAATTTCCAAGAGTACTTGTGTCGCCTTTGAATGGCAACCTTGTCATAATTCGGCCATCGTTACTGAGAGCTACAGTTTTTTTTAAAGTTGGTTTCGCATTGCTGTTCTTCTACTGACCATACTGATGGTGGATGAACTGGTTCCTCTATCTGCCACAACCGTTCCAAGTTCGCATTAATTGTATCCAAGCTGACAACACAATGGGATGAAACAATTTTGAAATCTTTAGTAGAACAATATTTTCCTGAAATAATCCAGCCGAACAAAGTTTTTTGTAAAGTCGGTAAATTCTCACCAAGTTTTATTTGGCCTACTGCTAGCAGTGAAAAGAAAGCTTCTGCACCAAGTAACATATAAATTTTTTGGCGTTTGTAAAATGCCGGATCAGCTAATTGAAGATTTTCAGGAATTTGCAACTCTTCTAACGACAGTGTTTCATTAGGGTGATATTTAGAAATTCTTTTGGTAACGAGAAACTCAAGTACTGCTTCAAAACTGTTTAACCTTGATCGTATCGTGCTTATTGTTTTATGTTTAATATTTACTAATGCAGCTCCTACACCAACAAGACTGTTTTTACTTCGTGACTTTTTTAGATGAAGTGCATTACACATCGATTCCGATATTAAATTGACCTGCGAGCATGAATCTAATAACACTATACAGAATTGGAAAGTACCCGATGCATCTTTAACTAACACCATTGCTGTTGCCAAAAGCACCACTGATTTTACCCGAGCAGAAGTTTCGTCTGGAACTAGTGCATTAGTCTGTACATGACTTAGAGGTGATATTGTTTGCTCACATAAAGGTTCCATATTAGATGATGCACCAGTATTATGTAAAAGTGAATGATGTCGTTTTTTGCACATTCGGCATGAATACGTTGATGGACAATGTGTGCTAATGTGATCTTTCCGGAGACAATTAAAGCATAGTTGGATTTGCTTCGCCTGTTGACATCGATTTTCAACTGATAGAGCTAAAAAATTTGGACAATTAGTAATATAATGACCAGGTTTTAAACAATATACACAATGAATCTGACTTGTAGACTTTTGTTTCGTCATTAAGATGTGCTTGAAAGGTTTACGAACACTAGTATGCTGCAACTCTTGGTTGATTGTAGCCTTTGGCTTGGCCTTTGCTAGTACCATTAATTGTTGACATCGCCTGTCAAGCATCTTGCAACATTCCAGCCAAGTTGGTAGTTTCGTATAGTCGTGACATTCATTCCATTTACGTTTCGTCTCACTATTCACTTTCATCATCACCAAGTGAATCAAGATTGCATATCTGTTCGTGTGATCCCAATGACTTAAGCGAACTATATAAAATCGAAATGTTGTCCACTAATTGGCGAAGTTGTGTCGAATCAGGTTAAATACATTGTGGTTCATCAAAAAGTGCTGCAATGCCTTCCAGAAATATGAGAGGGTCATTATCGTATCGCTCTTTGAGTCTTTGGAGAGCCTTCGGATAGTTGTCTTCCGTTATCTGGAACGCCTTTACTGTTGCTAACGCTTCGCCTTGAAGACACGATAACAAATGGTTGAATTTTTCAGTTGATGTCAAGACCGAATCACTATCTACAAGGTTTTGAAAAATATGTATACAATTTTTGAATTCAAGATATTTGCCGTCAAACTTAGGCAACTTTAAATGTGGCAATCTGTTTGACGGCAACTGCGGTAACGAGAAAGTTTGCTCATGGTAGCTTTGTCTCCTCCGTCCATCAACTAATGACAATATTAAACATTTTGTACTTACGTACAGCTCATTGATGTCAGAGCGCGCGGAATCTGTAGGACAATATCGCTCTATCTGATTCTGGTAGTAAGATACCTGCTTATAATAGGCATCTAGCATCCCAAGTCTACACTCCAATTCCGTTGACGATAAAGTTTTGTTATTCTCAACAATATTTTTAATTCGCGTTATACTGCCTTTCGTAGATGCTCGCTGCTGTTTTAATTCTTCTAATAAAGGCAGTGGCGGCAGAGAATTTGACGCTGCAGTCGAATTGTTTTCGGCAGCGCTGCTCGCTGCTGCATTATTAGAATTTTGCATCACCGAAAGCAAATGCAAAACCGAAAATAAAACAACAAAAAAACCAACTAATATTATGAAGGTTAATAACTTGAATGATTGTCAAAGTTATTGTTAAATTGAACAACTGTTGTTTATTTTTAAGTTTTAAACAATTACTGATGTAAGAGACTATTAATATTAAGTTTTTAATATTAATTTGAAACACCTTTAGTATTTATTTATATCAAGTCTTTAATATAAATTCAATTTAATTTGAAACACTTTTAGTCGTAATATAAATTGAATTTAATTTGAAACACTTTTAATATTTAATTTATCTTAAGTCTTTAAAATAAATTTAAGTTAATTTCAAATACTTGTCGTGTCGTGTCCTGTCACGGTCGCCAATGAACGAAAACTATTTTTATATACTATATATATTTAATAGTCTTTTTGTTGTTTAATTTTATATAAAGATAGTAAAATCCAAACGCACCTTTTTTGTTGAGAGGTTCACGTACCACTAATTTATTCTTAAAACATATTATTAACAATAGCAAAAAACAAAACAAATGGAAAGCTGCGGCTATTAAAAGCTTTTTTTTTAGTTGTAAATAAATGTTAAATAATTGAAATTAAAATAAGTATAAGAGAACCCAATTGACTTAACAACTAGAAAATTGGTTGTAATTTCCAATCAGTAGATCGCTTATCACTTTGATAATATTTTTTCCTTATCACTTTTACTTTTTCCTAAATATATATGTGCATTGTTTCTTGATTTCTATAGTTTTATCAGATATAAAACAACCGTAAAGTAATAATTTCTTATTTCTAATACTATGGCAACACAAACCTTCTTGTTGGATAATGTTTGACACATAATTACAATAAGTATGGTTCGCCTTTAAACTATCAGTGCACATGGCGCGCGACTGGCCACGAAATTTCACAATTTTTGATTCTAATAAATTTAAGGATTTTAATACGATATGTGGGTAATTAAAAAACAGGATACAGGTAACTAACAAAATATACCTTTAAGGTGTTAGACTTTAATAACATTTGCAATAGATGAAACCTTCACTCTTATTTCGGAGCACAATAATTATACTGTGGGTCGAACAAGTGCAGATTTGGTATTGTCTCATGATAATTCAATAAGTCGTTCCCATTCGATTTTACGTATTATCGTTATCGATATCGATAAAGAGACACTATCAATAGAAGATGTTGGATCTAAATACGGGACTTTTATAAATGAAAATATAGAAAATGGTATTAAACTCAACCAAGGAAAACAACAGGAATTATCAGATGGGGATCGTATCAGATTTGGCATTTTTAAAAATATTTGGCATGTCTCACATGTACCCATCATTAGTGCAATATCTGGATTGTCTTCAGGAGATGCTAAAATAATGGAACATTATATGTCTTTTTTTGGAGGAAAACTTGTAGATAAATGGGATACGAAATGTACTCACTTAACAATGAAGGAATTCAGATTGACTGTGAAAGCATTACACGCCTTAGTTGAACAGAGACCAATCGTTACTCTTGACTACTGGCGAAATTTTGTGGACGCTGCACGCCGTGGACGTAGTACACTCCCCCAACCCAATGAATACAAGCCTATAAATAGCAATGATTTGATGGGACATAATCTAGATTGCACAATAACACCGGCTCGTAAAACTGTTTTCAGCGGTATGACATTTGTGTTTATGAATGCGAACCAGCTTGAAATATATGGACCCATTATAATTAAAGCCGGTGGAGCTACAAAAGCTCTAAAATTTTGTGTGCCAAAATCTTTTTTACTTAAAAGTAACGTAGTTGTTTTGCAATATGTGCCCTCTACCCCATCGCAAGGTACGCAAACGATTAATGTCATTGAGAGTAAGTTTTTATAAGTTCTTCGTTATTTTTCCTTATATTTATTTGCAATTTTTGTAGACTATTTAGAAACTAATAATCTACGTTTTATACCTGAGTATGAAATTGGACTAGCAATTCTACACTGTTCTATAGAAAAATTCTGCAATCCTTGTTATAAGGTTATTAATGGCCTAATACCCTCAACAAGTTCCATGGGTTTATCTCCTAATACATGTCTTTTTAAAAATACTGAAGCTACTCAGAGTAACGCTAGTGAACGTACTGAATTATTTCCACGGAGCAGTAATACAGCTCATTTGGAGACGCAGCAAGCCTATAAACGTCCAATCATTGCAGTACTTACTGATAATGATGATAGTGATGATGATCTGTTTAATTTTGGTGGCGGGCCATCAAAAAAAACAAGTTTACAAGATAAATATAAAAGTTTAGATGAAGAACTTTACGATTTATTTCAATTAAAAAAAAGTATGCAGACAAGTGATAAAGTAACTGGCAAAAAATCACCCATTAAAAACGTAATTTTCAAACCGAAACCAAAGCCTTTACCTATTATAACTACACGGAAAGAAAAAACTACAGTTGAAGGTTTTCAGCAAAAATCAGGTGTGCAAATAGATAATTCGCCACCACGGAGCAGTAATACAGCTCATTTGGAGACGCAGGAAGCCTATAAACGTCCAATCATTGTAGTACTTACTGATAATGATGATAGTGATGATGACCTGTTTAATTTTGGTGGCGGGCCATCAAAAAAAACATGTTTACAAGATAAAGATAAAAGTTTCGGTGAAGAACTTTACGATGTACGAAATAAACAACAACAACAGGAATTATGTCTACTTGAAACAGAAAAGATCGGTGTGAATGATGATGGCAAATCCGGGAGCAAACAAAATTCAATATTAGATGATGAAAGTATGTCAAAGCGTAAACAGAACAAAATTATTCAAATTGTTATAAGTGACAGTGATGACAGTAATGAAGAAGAGAATTTATTTCAATTAAAAAAAAGGATGCAGACAAGTGATAAAGTAACTGACAAAAAATCTCCCATTAAAAACATAATTTCCAAACCGAAACCAAAGCCTTTACCTATTATAACTACACGGAAAGAAAAAACTACAGTTGAAGGTTTTCAGCAAAAATCAGGTGTGCAAATAGATAATTCGCCACCACGGAGCAGTAATACAGCTCATTTGGAGACGCAGCAAGCCTATAAACGTCCAATCATTGCAGTACTTACTGATAATGATGATAGTGATGATAAAAGTTTAGATGAAGAACTTTACGATTTATTTCAATTAAAAAAAAGTATGCAGACAAGTGATAAAGTAACTGGCAAAAAATCTCCCATTAAAAACATAATTTTCAAACCGAAACCAAAGCCTTTACCTATTATAACTACACGGAAAGAAAAAACTACAGTTGAAGGTTTTCAGCAAAAATCAGGTGTGCAAATAGATAATTCGCCACCACGGAGCAGTAATACAGCTCATTTGGAGACGCAGCAAGCCTTTAAACGTCCAATCATTGCAGTACTTACTGATAATGATGATAGTGATGATGACCTGTTTAATTATAAAGATAAAGATAAAATAACTTGATATGAAAAATGAGAATAGTACAGATGAAAAACATCAATTTATTGACTCATTTAAAAATGCTTTCATAGTACAAGTGAAAAAGCTGATAATATCTAAACCTTTAGAAGATCTTTCATCATTACAACTTATATTAAACAATTCAAAAAACAATGGAACTACTAATTTTAAAAAATTTGTTAAGGTACATTTAATTATTCCAAAATAGTTCATTTATTATTAATCATTTTTATTCCATTTTTGGTAGACTAAAAATCTCAGACCGCAGCAAAGAATCATACCAACTCATCCAGTATCACTTATGAGTTTGTTATCAAATCAATCATAAAATTCGGAATTCCTTAATTTTTAATACAGATATATATTTTACTTTTTATATGTTATATATGTTTCATATGTTATTTAAATCAAATACATGTTTCAAATATTTAAAATGTTCAACATTAATGTAGCATTAATATGTTTTTTATGAGTATTTCTCAAAGAGAACCTTCATATATACCAGAATTATAACTGGTACAAATTTTGTTAACTATTAAGAATTAAAAAAACACTAACACAAAATTGATTTGTAGTACGAAGTACTAAATTTAATTATTTTTAATTCTATTTTTGAATAGCAACGATATTTTGTTTTTTCAGGAATATGGAATTGTTACAGAGTAGTTCTAACTTATTTAGTAATTTACAGCAATTTCAAGCTGAAGCTTCTCTCCTAAGTGCTTTGTATTGTAATAGTAGCATATAGTAATAGTAGTAATAGTAGAATATTATAGCTCAATTAATTAGCTCTAAAAATGAGGTCCATACAAAAATGTATTATTAAATTTCAATAATAAAAAAACTTGCATTACAATATCTGATATGTCACATGAATATTATAGTCTGCCTTTGTTGTGTCGAGTCAGAATTTTGTGTGACATACAATATTTGTTGGTCAATCTATTCCAAATGTAGAATCTCTCACAGACACAAATCAGAGATTTCTAGGTACTGGGCACTGGACCATAGGACGACACCTGCCGTGTGGTGGCGGGATAAGAATACCACCTCAGTATGTCTCTGCTTGTCGTAAAAGGCGACTAAAAGAGAAAATGCAAAGATCAAAGTAGAACTTCTACGATTCCTGGTAAGTCGTGAGGGCGCACAGGTCAAAGTAGCTTGCTACGACTCCTGATAAGACGACCCTTCTGCTAGCAGGTCGGCCCGGCATTTGCTCAGGCCCTGCTAAGTTGACCAGCCTTCGGGAAGTGCGACTATCTATCAGGTCAACTGTCAAGCGATAAGTACTCTGCTTATCGTTTGACGCAGATAGTCGGGTGGGGTGAAGGAAAACACCCTTTTAGTGAATGAGCAGTGAGAATGATTGTATGAATGTGTGCATAAATGAATTGTGTGTATTAGAAATAAAACCCCCCAAACTAAGGTGGAACAGCTACGCCTTTAGCTTGGCTGCTGGGGTAGAAGCAGTCTTAGTAGCGAACTCAGGACACCTGGCGACCTCCTGTTTTAAACAGCCTTACCTGTGCAATGCGAAGCTCTCCGCAGGTGGACATATTTCTCTTCGCAACTCGTGGGAATCAAAATTGACAAAAAAATTTTAAATATACCAACTCAAGGCGAAGTGGTTGACGCTGATTAGGTGGACAATGAGGCCTCACAGGCCGAGCTGATAGCCTTAGCTTCAGATACCACCACGCATGACGGTCATGAGACCAACAAAATGGTGGACGAAGAAGCCCCGCAAGAGGCTGAGCCGTTAACCAAAACAGTTGGAAACATGACAACGACTGATCTTGACTTGGCCGAGCGTATCCGTCTGAACATGAGGGAGAAGCAGAAGCGTAGAAGAGAGAGGCAAAAGGCTGCAAAAGCCACAAGATCGGTTGAACAACTAGCCGATCGATTCAGCGGACTATCGCATGTGGAATCATCGCTAGAGGAAGAACAGCTAGCAAAGAGGTATAAGGGCGACTGATAACCAGAAGAGAACGCAAAACGGATCTGGGGTTAAAAAAGGCGGACAACCCATACAGGGTGTTAACCAACCAAAACAAGGCGGACAACTTATAACTGTTGTTAACCAAGTACTGGTCCCCAAACCAGTACAGCGGACCATCTACCTAGCACAAGTAAGGCTGCAAATAAACAGAATTACGGCAAGCAGGCAGTAGGAGACGCAAAGGATGGCCCTGCTCATAAGAGGTCCTATGCCCAGTTCGCTGGGACGGATCTCAATATGGGCATCACCGATTCAAGAGTCGAAGGACCTCTTGGCGAGAAACACTTAGTTGCTTTTAAAGCATCTTTGTTGAACGCCGTGGAGTCCTTAGATGGCGGAATAGGTGACATAGGGTTTGTGACATAGCTCCACGTGGAACAACTTCGGAAAATTAGTGAGCCATCGTAAGATTCTTGATCTCGTCCAGGCCGCGGTCAAGGAAACGCAGATGCTATTGGAGACTATGAGGAGCGTTTATGGGACAGAAGTGTCCTATAGAACACTGATAGTAGACGGCCTTCTACATAATGAATGTGGAAGGAATGACATTTGCATATTTACCGATGGCTCCTTAATGGATGGCAGAGCTGGTGCTGGGGTTTACTCGAAAGAGCTAAAACTAACGTGCACTCTACATCTAGGAATATATGTTTCCGTCTATCAAGCGGAACTTATGGCGGTCTCACATGCTCTGGATCACCTATTGGATTGTCAGGTATATCAGAAAAAGATTCTGATAGCGCTGGACAACCAAGCAGTTATCAAAAGCATGCAAAAGACATACATAACTAACAGCTTAGAACAAGAATGTGTAACGAAGCTCATGGAATGTGCTCATGGAAATGAGGTAACGATCATGTGGGTTAAAGGACACATCGGTATTGAGCAAAAGGAGAAGGCAGATGAACTTGCAAAGCAAGGATCAAGCCATAATTTCTGTGGCCCGGAGCCCAGAATACCATTGGGGTACAGCATGACGGCAGCCTATGTCTATAAGTGGATAATCTCACTTCATCTTAATAGATGGAGAGAGTTGAGCACTTATAGACAGACCAAACTCATGTTACCAAAACCATGGGCCAGAGAAGCGATAAAGGTGCTTAGCTATTCGCTGAGCACCCTAAGCTGGCTGACCTCACTAATTACTGGACATGGCAACTTCAATTATCACCTCAAAAAGATAACTCTTGCTGAGGAAGATACTTGCAGACTATGTCTAGAAGAAAAGGAGACAGCGGTGCATATAATGTGCCAATGTCCAGCACTGGCAAGTAGGAGGAAGTCTGTCTTGGGACACTATTGGGTTGCTGACGACTTGGCAGGAAACCTCAAACTAAATGAAATGCTTGCATTAACAAAAGATGTAGTTATGCGAACGGAAGCCACTCCAGCTTTAACTCAATAACAACATCCGAGAATCGAAGGACGAAAAAGGACCCAAGTCGTTTCGTGGTCTACTTCGACTAATCCTTCACTTCAGTGGGGCCACTTGTTGGACAGTGACTACCAGCTCTCGAAGAAAGGACAACAGAACACCTGTTGTGTTTATGTCCAGACTGGGGCAGAACTAGGCTTAAGTTTCTGGAGGCCCCCTTCTTCAACACACTCGGTGATATCTCAAGCATTAGCTAGATTCTAGTATCTCTCTTGTAGTTTACCACTTGTTCATTATTTAATATGATGTGAATAACTTCATTCATTAATCTTTTTTGATAATTATTTTCGATTTCAAGAATTATTACTTCATCAAAGTTGAAATTATGTCCATTTTTTCCCATCATCTTTATTTATTAATTAATTATTTCAAAATAATAAATATATATAAATATAGATATAAATTATAAAATTGTAACTATATATAATATGAGAGAGAAGTAGTAAATTTTGTTTACATTTCTTTCTAATATTTTTAATGATTTTAAATAAATATATTTATTAATTAACAACAAATTTAATAAATTTTGATAAATGTACGATAATAGTTCATGATTTTCAATGTTTATAGTTGTTTCTGTTTGTCACATGGTTTTATAATATAGTGTGAATTAAACATAATGTTGGATCTGAAACATCATATAGGAAGGTTTAACGCACAATGAGAGAATTATATATTTAAATCGCCAAGGGGAATGGGGTATATACTAAAAAATTCATTTTGCCATCATTTTTACAGTGACTTTACAATGTCAAGTTGTTAATTTTGACTATAATCCTCTTGAATAGGTCACTATATCAAATTGTATTTTCAAAACTTCATTATCTTTGCTGCCTTGACTTTATAAGATGATAAATCTGAACACTTATCAGGTAAACCAGGATTATGTAAAATAATTAAAAAAATTTATGATTATTATATTATCTTTATTAAATAATATACGTACATAAATTAAATGAAATTATTATTTTAACATCTAAGCACAACAAGGACAAATTGTCGACTTCTCAGAAGAGGAACATACAGGCCCGTAATGTATTTCGAGAAGCGTTATAAGTACAAAATTTCATTTATATATATTATAAATATATTATTATTTATATATTATATTTCATTTATATATTGAATAAAGTACTCATCCGAGCTCCACTTATTCCGCTTTACAATCGTGTTTTTTTTGATCCTGATTGTAAAGTATATACATAATTAGACCCCCACGCAATCTTGCGTAAACCCATCTCCTTCATCGATATTTCCATCCTTCTTAAGTGTATTAGTCTATTATTATTATTATTATTATTATTATTATTATTATTATTATTATTAT